AGGTTGAGATAAGAAAACCTCAAGTTTGAGCCCAGCCCAGGCTACTTCATGACTTAGTAAGACCCTGCCTCAAAAAAATAAAAAGGTTAAGACATAACTCAGTGTGAAGGCCGTGGTTCTATTCACAGGACAGCAAAGTAAATAAATACAGATAGTGTGGTGATACACACCTATAACCCCAGCTGTTTAGGAGGTTGAAGCAAGATGGTTATAGGTTTGAAGCCAGCCTGGGAAGTTCAGTAAGATCCTGTTTTTCAAAAACAAAAAGCACTAGGGTTACCTTCTCAGGGGAACAGCATGTGCCTACCATGTACCAGGCCCAAGTTAAATCCTGTACTGTCCCCAAACCAGATGTTCAGCTGTGTATGATGTACATGCCTATAACCCAGGCACTCTAGAGGCTGAGACAGAACTGCTGTGAAGTCAAGGCCAGCCTGGGGTCACATAGCAAGATCCTGTCTCAAAAAAGAAAAAGAATGGGGCTGAGGATTTAGCTCAGCGGCATAAGCTCCTGCCTTGCAAGCAGGCAGTCGTGAGTTCGATCCCTGGTACCAGTAAAAAAAAAAAGCAAAGATTTGTAACAAAAGTTGAATTAACTTAAGTATTAACTGATTTGATTTTTGAAGACAGTGTCATCTACATAGTCCAGGCTGGTTTAGGAATTGTAATCCTCCAGCCACGCCTCCTGAGTGCTGAGATTATGTGCACAACCACCACACCCAGTTGGAGAGAGCACTGATTAGTCTTTGGAAGCCAGGTGAATTCAGATTTCGTATCACTGACACACCAGGTAAACTATTTGTACCCAATTTCTAATGGAAACAGTGAAATAATTAATCAACTCAGTCTGGTATTATCAACACAGTGGAAGGAAAACAACTAGTTTAAATTAAACAAGGCTTTTAGCCCAGTAAAACTGCTGTTCTCACAACTCCCACCGAGAGCCAGGGATATAGCTCATCAGCACAAGTACCTAGTACCTGCCTGGCAAGTGCTAGGTCCTTAGTTCAATTACTGGAACACACACAGAGTTGTCACTGAGCTGGGCATGATGGCACATGCCTATAATCTAAGGATTTGGGAGGCTGAGGCAGGATTACCACAAGTTCAAGGCCAGCTTGGGCTACACAATACCTCAAGGCCAATGTGAATCATACAGCAAGACATGTCAGGCAGCCATTCCTTCTCTTTTGGAAAACCAATCAAAATCATTTACTTACAGTCAAATATTTAAGAAATTAAAGCAAGACAGTGGCGACGAATGGGTCACTTTCTAATGAAGTCAAAGCATGGAAGGGCTGATGTTTCTGGGCTGGTGAGATGCAGTCTGCACCTCCTCCCGCATGGCAACCAGTCAGCCCTAAGCTTGGGGGAATGACTGACACCCCACAGTGCGCTGCTGCCTGCCCAGACCCAGGGCAGATCAGGTTCCCACCCACTTTGCTCTGACCTGGGATAGCTATCACAGGGAGCACGCCAGATGGCAGCATGTGTGTCTCCATAGCAGCACTGGCTCAGCAGCACAGCATGGGCCAACCCACTCCTGAGTGCTCTGGAGGAGGCATGTTCAAGGAAATGGGCCCTGGCAGCCCGGCAAAAGGATGGCAGAGGTAGCTTTCAGGGATGCCAGGCCAAGGCTGGTACCATTTTCCAATCAAGCCACATCATAATCTCCCTTGAGCACTTAAGCCCTTCCTAACGCTTAAATTCAGTGCTCCAGATTTTATCTCTGAGCTACATTTGAAAGATTCTATGTGTGATCCATAGTATACACTTGTAACTCCAGCTTCTTGAAGGCTGAAGCAGGATTCCAAGTTTGACTGTAGCTTGAGCAATGTAACAAAAAATGTAGCTCAAAATTAAGAACCAATTTTTAAAAAAATGTCTTTGCTAGGCTTTGTGTTGCACACCTGAAATCCCAGCACTCTGGAGGGTGAGCCAGGAGGATTATTTTAAGGGCAGCCTAAGCTAGCTACACAGCGAGATCTTGTCTCAAAGATAACCCCCCTCAAAAAAAGTGTATCCTGGGGCTGGGGATTTAGCTCAGCGGCGTAGGTGCCTGCCTTGCAAGCAGGCAGTCGTGATTTTGATCCCCAGTACTGATGATTAAAAAAAAAACAAGTCTATCCCGCCACTACAAATGATAACAACTATCATGCATCATTTCTGTAAACCATGAGTTAATTTCTTAAGGATCTTCAAATTCTTGCCTGCTCTCATGTGTATGCTGAGTAAAGCCCTCAGGGGAGCCCCGCTGGAGGGGCTCCATCCCGTCCTGCCCAGGCACCATTTACCACCTCCAGCCCTCCCGAACCCAGCGTCCTTGCCTTGGTCAGCTACCTGCCACAGCCAGTGAGCTTCCTAGAGTTGTCTTCTGCCAGCTGAGGGCAATGCTGCAAACAGGGTAGCTAAGCACTTCTAGGCTTCATGGAGAAGACCTGACGGTGGGTCTACCCACTGAAGAAAAGCAGCTGGCAAGGTGAGGCCATCCCAGAGTTGCCTGCCGATGACTTCTTTTTTGGCATTGTGAAACTCAACTCACAACCTCACGTTTGCCAGGCAGGCACTGTGTTGCTGAGCTATATCCTTGGCCCTTAGGGTGACTTCCTGACAGTGCTGTCAAGGAGCAAATACCTCGGGTGATGGACAGTCACTGCATACCCCAGAACAGAAGGCCCCTGGCACTGGCCTGGCTCCTCTGAGAACCACCGGGCTGCCTCTCCCTCAGCAGGGCCCTCCCTAGATTCAGTAAGTGCTGCTCCACCCAGAAATGGAGGCCAGTCCACTACCAGGTAAGAGAAGTTGGTTTAGTTTTAAGGGAGAATCAGCCTGCACACTAGAACTTATTTTTATTTGTCATATGGAGTACAAGAGTATCAAAACTGAATGGTATGACAGCCAGGGATGTGAAGCACATCTATAATATTTGAGAAGCTGAGGCAGGGGGATCACTCTGAGGTCCAGGCCAACCTGGGTCACACAGTGAGTTCAAGGCCAGCCTGGAGTACATAGCAAGCCCCTGTCTCAAAAGAAGGAAATAGTACTAGCTGAATAGTACTAGCTATATGTGGTGGTACACATCTATAATCCTAGCCTTGTGGGAGGCTGAGGCAGAAGGATTAAAAATTTAGGCCCAGCCTAGGCAACCAACTTAAATGACTTAGTGAAACCTATCTCAAAACTCAAAAGGCAAGGCAGGCTGGGGATGCAGCTCTATGCAAAAGCCCTGGGTTCAATTCCCAGTTACCCCCCCCCCAGGATGATACTAACTTAAGAATAGTTTTCATTTTCTTTTCTCCTTGAGTTTTTCCCAGGGCTAAAGAAAGCATCCAGCCCCAGAAAGACTCCTAGCAAGAAATTTTATGGTTCTTTGTAAGGCTCAGGAACAGCAGGCAAAGGGATGGGCACTCTGAGCAGAGGTGATTTCAGGGTGAGTGTCCAAGCCTCGGTTCAGCCGTCAAAGCAGCACAGCCACTCCAATCAGGCCCAGCACTGTGTGGGCAGCTGTGGAGACATGTCCCAACACAGGCCTGGTTTCCAGGATGGGCTGCGATCCCCAGGAACCTGCCACCAGGATCACTACATCATGGGCACTGGCAATCCAGACTCAGGCTCCCAGCTTGGCATGGTGGCAGGCGCTGACAGGAAACAGCTATGTTTCTACCCTTGCCAACCTTTCAACTGCGACTCAAGGAGGAACTTGAGGCAGGCACAAGATGCCTGACTGTCAGGGTATACACTCTGCTAGAAAATTCAGGGCCTTCTCTGCTACCTATTAACCCACATATATGTTTTCAATTTATTAAGTACCATTTTTGAGACACAATCTTAAGTTATCAAGGCTTTCTTAACCATGGGCTTCTCCTGCCTTAACCGTTCAATCAGCTGGCATCACCAGCACATACCACTATGTCCAACTTCACTTTTAGCTCACTAAAAATCGCAAAACTGCCAAAGTGCCAGGAGTGGTGGTACACATCTATAGTCCCAGCATTTGGAAAATGTGAGTTCAAGGCCAGCAACTGTATAGCAACATTCTATCTCAAAAAAAACAAACAAACACAGCCAAAGTAGAAGTAAAACATTTCCAGTTTGTTGCTTATATTCATTTGCCTAAAGCATGTGTGACCTCATTCTGATTATCACAAAGCACGCATTGGCCTGGAGCTCTTTTTTTCTCAGTACTAAGGACTGAACTCAGAGCCTCATCCACCTGTCCATAAAGCGATACTCCAGCCCTGAAAATCATGTGTGGCAGCAATTAGGAAATATACAATTTGGTGTTCCGGTCACAGAAAGCCATTATAAAGCTACCTTTCCAAACCAGGCATGGTGGTACACATATAGTCCCAGCATTTGGGAGGCTGAGGCAGGAGGATTGATACAAGTTTGAGGTCTGCCTGGGCTACAAAATGAGTTCAACACCAGCATGAACTACTACCTAGTGAGACCCACCCTCCCCCAAAAAAAGATCAGGGAAAAAAAAACTACTCTTCTCACGTGAGTCTTAAGCAACAGGCACAGTCTGTTTTATCTCCTCCCGAAAGGAAGTAAAGTTCTCCTGTATCACTTGCTTCTATCTCCCTTCTTCACCTGTCATAGACCCCAGTGTGTACAGCAGCCCCACCGCCTGTCAGAGCCCCACACATGGCCCTGCAGAGGCACGCACACCAGCCCTGGACTTTCCTTGCTCTCTCTGTGGGCCCTGCTTCATCACCAGCACCTCTGTCTGACCACATCAGCGCAGGGTTTGATTTGGGTCTGCATTTAGGGTTTCACATGTCCACTGGCACAATGGATCTAGCTCTGGGGCTGTCCAGTGGGCAGCAGGAAGAGACACTGAGCGTTGGTAAATGCTGAGAACAGGGCTTGGGCCAGCACAGCACACCCATGCTCACATCACCCAGACACCTCCGTGCAGAGTAGAGGGTAGGTATGCCCGGCACAGACCACACCTGCCAGAAGACCCCCTGAGCACCCTAGGGGCAGCCTTGGGATACAGTTCTTTGTCTTTCCTGAGCAGGTCATTGTACATCTGGTCATATGTGGTTTTGAAATCATAAACATTGGGCTTGTCTGGTGCTGGTCCTGGGAGTTTCACGTGAGTTCCTGTTCCAAAGGATCGGACGCTGAATCCTCGCTTGCTGGAAGACAAAAAAGGAGAAAGAGCATCACAGCTGGGTTAAGACAGACACAAGGTTCCCAAACTATGAACTGAGAGTGGACAGAATGACTGTATTAATATTAGACACAAGCTTTTTAAGTTTTTATTTTTATTTCTTGAGGCAGGGTTTCGTTGTATAGTTCAAACAAGCCTTGAAATGGTACCAATCCTCTTGCCTCAGTCTCCTGGGGTGCTGGGAGGATACGCATGTACTTTGAATTTTTAATATAACTTTAAATATTTTGACTTTTTTTTGGTGGGGTGGAGAATTATAGGTGGGTATAGTGGTGCATGCCTGTCATTGCAGCACTCAGGAGGACTGAGGCAGAAGGATCACCAAGAGTTAGAGCCCAGCCTGGGCTACATGGCCAGACATTGTCTCAAAAATCAAAACAAAACAAAACGCAGAAAAAAGATAAAGCAAGGTTCACAAAAACTAGGTGAAACCAATCCAAGCAGAATCTGTGGTTAGATGACCTGTAAACACAGAAGCTGTTTAACACTGCTGCTCTACAGACAGAAGGATTGACCGACCATCACCTGGATGTGAGGACGCTTTCTATGTTCCCCAGTCCTGGTTCACAGGATTCCTAAGAAACCTCTCAAAGTTTGCTGCTTGCTACAGCAGCCGCCCAGGCTGAACTGCTTGTTAGGACACTCTCCTGTCAGGGCCCTGGCAGCCCATTGTGCTGGCAAGACGTCCCTGATCTAAGGACATGAGAGGGCCCTGCTGGAGCGAAGAAGCTGGCAGCTGTAGCTGCTTGCCCATAACCCAGCAGGTGCAGATGAGGACAATGCCTTTGAAAATGCCTGAAAACCATGGCAAAGCACGGAGCCCACGCTAACAGGCAACGTGGGTGAAGAACAGCCAAGTGACACCGGCAGGCTCACCAGGAGAAGGAAAGACCACCTGCAGACACAGACATCCCACTGAAAGGTCAGGACAGCCAGTTTTAAATCTGTCTCACAGGTTACACACATGGTTATGTTGATACAGGTGGCAGGTTATTCTTAACTGTACTTAACAGAATTCCCCTCCAACTGTTTGTGTTTTTGTGGGGGTTTTTTTTGTTTTTTGTTTTTTTTTTTTTTTGTCTGTTTGAGACAGGGTCTCACTATGCAGTTCAGGCTGGCCTTGAGCTCACTTTGTAGCCCAGGCTGGTCTCCAACTCACAACAATCCTCCTGCCTCAGCCTCCCGAGTGCTGGGATTATAGGCGTGAGCCACCACGCCCGGCTCTCCAGCTCTGTATTTCAAACACAGACTCTATCTCTGAAGAAACCCTGAACTAAGGGCTCAGAGGTACCTCCATTCCATCAGCACCCCAACTCTCCCACAAACCAGCACCAGCACTACCCAGACGGGTTGGAGAGGAGCACTGGGCAGGGAGGCAGCTCAGCACCCATGCATGTGCACAGTTTAAGCCCCAACCCAGGAAAAGACTAACAGGAAGAAATGAGGACAAAGGTACCACATAGACAGATTTCCTGAACCTGTTCACTGCGCTGTGGGCTAATAGGTAGGTGACGGCTCTACTGGCAAAATAGGATACTTCAGACCCCTGACAGACAGCACAGAATCAAAACAGCCCCCCAACAGTATCCTTCTGCCCCAAGGCCACTAACAGCTATTAATGGCACTACTATGAAGAGACAAAGACATGCGCTTGGAAGACACAGAAGAGCACAGGCCCTTCCACACACCATCTAAAGACATATCCAGCTGACATGGTGCTGCACACCTGTAACCCAGTGCTCTGGGCAGCTGAGGCAGCTGTCCAAGGAGGTGCAAGTTTTCTTCTGTACTCAGGCCCTTCACACTTATTTTTCAGTCTGAGACAGGGTCTGGCTAAACAAGCAAACTGTCTAGACGAGGCTTGAATTTGTTCCTCCTGACTGAGTCTCTCACTATATAGAGATTGCAGGCCTACCAGCTACCAAACTTATTCTGAATAGCAGGAAAAGCAAAAGGCATGCATATACAAAATTCAACTCCTCTCAATCATTTCTTCTAAGTACTAATTTATTAAAATGGGTGGGAAGTCAGGCATGGTGGCACATGTCTATAATCTAAGCTCTCAGGAGGCTAAAACAGGAGAATCACCATGAGTTTGAGGCCAACATGGGCTCCACAGTAAGCTCATGGCCAGCCTGAACTACGTGAGACCCTGTCTCAAAAAACCAAAATTTAAAAACAAAATAACAACAGCGAGTGGGAAGTCAGGCACTGTTGGCATCTGCTCAGGTGAGTCAACTGAGCCCTGGCATTCAAGGCCAGCCTGGGTAGCACTGGCAGGCCCTGTCTGAAGACAAAATACAGCAACAAAGTAAAAATAAAAGGCAGGAGAGGAAGGGGCACCACAAGCACATACTGTGGCCTTATCACAGCACATGAGATGTCTGGACAGGGCAGGGACACACAGTCACAACTCCCACCAGGTTCCTGGGAGGCTCTGTGGCCCAAGACACAGGTCTGTCACATGGGAGCCTCCTGTCATCTGCCAGTGTCCCAGGGCAGCCACAGAACTGGCTGGCTGGCCAGCTCCCACACCCCAAGGATGCACCAGGACCTCTGTTCCCCACTGGTTGAATGTCTGTTTCCCTGTGCTCACTCTCCAGTTCCTACTCTGTCACACCAAACCGGCAGCCCCGTTTTCCCTGCAATGTTACTTTAAGCAAGCCTACTTATAAATAAAACAAAATGCAGCCTGTCCCCCTCCAAGATGTTCCCAAGTGGCAAAAAGGCTAATGAGCAACAGCAGGGCTGCTCCTCTGAAGCTGCTACACTGACACAGCCCAGCTCGCACTGTGACAATCTGCTGCTTACATAAGCACTCTGGGTGCTACCCGGTATTCCTGACAACTGAAGAGTTTTGTCAGAAAGGCTGAGTATCTTGTAAACTAATCTTCCAAACAAGTATTCATTTGACTGGTCTAACAAATGTCTTTACGAGTACTAAAAATTGAGCTGAGTATGATGACACACACCTGTGATCCCAGTGGGACGCTAATGCAGAACTGCTGCAAGTTCAAGGTCAGCCTGGGCTACATAGTGAGACCCTGTCTCAAAAAACAAAACACAACAAGTACCAAAGATTTACCAGAAAGATGCTTTGCAGTAATATATGATGGTGTATACCTGCAATCCTAGCTACTCAGGGGAACTGCAGTAGGAGGATCACCAATTCAAGGCTGGTCAAAGCAACATAGTAAGACCCTGACTCAAAGTTTCAAAAAGGGACAGGCATGGCAGTTAAGCGTGTGGCTCAATGGCAGTGCACTTACCTACCATATGTGAGGCCATTGTAGACAATGTTAAAGTAAACAACAGAATGCTAAACTTGTTATCCCAAAAGCAGAAGGTAAAATAATGAAAAAATGAACACCAAACAGCCCTAAAAAGTCTTCAAATTAGCAGCATGGGTTACAGTATCTTTTCTATATTCTAATGTTCTACACTGTAGTCATTATTTGAAAGTTTGCAAATGATTTTGGAATTCTGTTTGTTTCCTGAGACAGGGTCTCATACACTTCAGGCTGGCCATGAAGCCCAGGCTAGGCTCAAACTCACAAGGATCCTCATGCCTCAGCCTCCCAAATGCTGGGAAAGCATGTGCCACCACACCTGCTTCAGATGAAGATTTGACACTCTGGACCTGCTGCCTCCAAAAGCATGTACGTGTCTTCCACGCACAGTGGTGTGCCCCTGCAATCCCAGCATCTCAGCCTGAGGCAGGAGGATCACCTGAGTTTGAACGCAGACTTGAAAACAAACAAACAAACAAAAAAACTAAAGCATGCTCTCTCTTAATAAGGAAACAGTTAATGATCCTAAATCACTTTACTAAAGGTGAGCCAGACTCACTGCCAATCAGCCTTCCTCCAGCCACAGTCTATGCAGCACAGATCAACTGCTCAGATCACCGTTTCAATGCAAGACTGGGGCAACAGCAAATTCCCTAAATACTAACATAACAACACAATCCATGCCATTACCTGACAAAATCTAGACCCTACAGACACACAACCGCACATTTCCTAAGACTGATTCTATTCCTAACCTTTCATAAGGTCATATAAAGTTCAGAGGCTCCTAATCGGGTTATGAAATGATTTGTGTGCCTGCACAGAGCCATGCTTGCCCATACGTGGTAAGAAACACCTATTACTTCTGTCCTGCCAGCACCTCTGCTTACGGATCTCCTCTCTGGGTCTGAGCCCACGGTCCTGTCCTCTCTGCTGATGCCATCCTCCAGGCTCTGTCATCTTGAGGCGTCACATCTCACAGCACTAGAACAGGGTGGCATCTCAGGTACTTCAGATGGCCAGGTGGCACAGGAACCCACAGCTGGCTGGAACACTCAACGGTTATCAGCAAGAATATGCTACTAACCAGGTATAAACCTGCCAAACCAGTCCTACTCTGGGCTCCCATTAATTTCTTACCTACAAAGTTGGCCTGGAGAAGATAATCCTAAACAGCACCACAGCTCTCGAGGTATGGAAACTATTAGTTTGCTTGAACTACCCAGTTCTGTCTCAATGGTGGCTTCAGGCAGAACTCTACCTTCGCTCTGGAGAACCAGGATAAAACCAGATGCACAATCCCAAAAGCCCCCAAAGGCAGGTCTGCTCCATGAGAGCCAGATCTTCAGCGTCCGCAGTCCTTTCTACAGACAAGATTCCAAGTCCTAGCCTGGCTGGCAGCACACATCTCTAAACCCAGCACTTGGCAAGCTGAGGCAGGAGGATTGCTGAGAGTCTGAGGCCAATCTGGGCTACACAGTGAATTCAAAGCCAGTCAACTCCACAGTGAGAACTTGTCTTAAGACAAAACAAAACAATAGGGCTAGGGACTATAGCTCAGCAGTATAGTGCCTGCCCAGCAGGAGAAAGGTCTTGAGCTCAACTCCCAGTACCAAAAAAAAAGAATTCCAAATCCTTCCACCTTCACAATTAGTTTCCAGTTTCCTTCTAGTGT